ACTGAAATCAATGTAAAGTAAAAGAGAACAATATGTTATAAATCATATAAAAATATATATGTATCAATAGCTATTATCTATATTGATCATCAATCAGTCTATAATATATTACATCAGAATTAATTTGTCAATTACAATCACAATGTTAAAAGCAGTAAGCAATAGCAGTACCTTATCAATATCAATAACATTAATAACAATAGTGCCAAAACAATATCAATAACAATATTAGTATCAGGGCTAGAGCAATATCAGTATCAATATTAATGTCAATAATAATATCATTATATGTATCGATAATAATATTAGATATTCAGATGAGGGTTTCTTGATCTTGAGAGTATCATAGGTAATCACTTGGTGAATCATTGTGCTTGCCCTTATATGTCACTTCCGAACGCCTTGTGACTCCCAATTAGTTTTCATCTCCTTATGACTCCCATCTTTTGGCTCCTTCCTGTCAGTGCACCACATGGATATTGAGGATATCACATAATGTTATCATTTCATATATTTGATATAGTCGGTGCATTATTTTCCATCATTTCAGTATCAATACAATACATTTTATACTTTCAATACATAGTAATCGCATTTAAGCCATTTCAGCCTCAATCTCATTCTAGTATTATTATATCAAATCACATTACACTATTTTCAACCCATTTTCAGTATACCTTTTTCTACTCATTTCACATAAACATTCATATACATTAATTTAATTGATAAAAATATAACAAATCATATCATATTATTCAGAATGATCAAATCTATAGCATATCAAAAGGTACACGGTGAAAGCGTACAAAATCAGAAGAAAAAAAAATTCTTGGCATATTTAAGAGAAAATCAATATAAATCAAAATCATCGAAAACATGAGTAAGAGATTAGTCACTTACAATGATTAAAACACTTTTTCATAAAATGAACGATGAAAAAAAAGTAGGGGCGGGGGAAGAAGAGGAAAGGTGGTAGGGGATTTAAAGAAAAAATGTTAAAAAAATATTTTTAGCGGCCTAGTATTGCATCGCCTCATTTAGAAATCAGATTCACTGTTGAACAGAGACGTTAATGTTGTGGTTGCAATTTCTAGCTTCGTAGTGTTCTCAACACTAGCGCCGCAACACTTACATGTACATCATCGAAGCTTTCTAGTTTAATCAGCAAATTAAAAAAAAAATCATATTTTTCATTTAAATTAATTTTTGTATCTTTATGTTATTACATTATGAATCTCGATCTGTCACCCCTTATAACTCCCAATCAGTAATCACGTGGATCAATTGCCCCAACTCTTCCTTATAACTCTCAATCGGTCTCTAGCTCCTTATGACTCTCAATCAATGAATCATATGGATCAATATGGTATCACATGAGATTATCATATCATATATTTGATATAATTCAATACATCATTTCATCAGTACCAGTATTACATTCCAGTACATATCACTCATATCAATGCATTCAATTTTCAATATAATTTTTCCTAATCATTCACTTATAATTATTTAATGGGTGAAAATACAATAAAATTATATCAAATTATTCAAAATGATCAAATCTATAACATATCTAAAGTTATACGGTGAAAACTTACGAAATCAAAAGATAACACATTTTTAATATATTTAGGAGAGATAAAATCTCTAGAATCAAAACAATCAAAAATAGGAGTAAGAGATTAGTCACTTATAACAAATATAATAAATTTGTAACATGAATTGTTGACAAAAGTTACACAAATAACTTTTTCTCTCTTCTCTCTCTCTAATATAGGCAACAATTTTAACTGCTACTAAATTCACTTTCAAAAAATTAAAGTTATCCAAATATTTTGTAACAGCGGTTTGCAAACGGCTGGTTAGGCCGCCCAATCTACTTCTCCTTCTTTTGGTGCCCTAGCCGACTCATACAATACCTTTGTCTCGGTTTATCTCGCGATGATCATCCACGCCGAATCAGCCAACCCCACTGTCGAAGCCACCATCTCGACGCAGAATTCTACCATTCCGATGCTGAATCTTGCCATCCCGATGCCGACGGTGAGGGGGAGGAAAACGAGATGGAGAGCCGACGCCGTTGGTGGAGATACTTGCGATTTCTGGTAAGTAAATTTCTGCACTTCTTCGATGGCTCTATTAGCAATACCGATGATTCACTTATATTGAGATTGCTGAGTATGAGATGACAATTATTAGTTGTTTGCGCTTTTCCATATCTTCCGAGAGAGACCAGATTGGGGCAATTTTTAATTTTCAGGTATCTCTGTGAGTCTTTTTTTGTCAGCTAGAAGAAGAGTTGTGATGTTTCGGCTGTGAGAAACCTCTAAAGTTTCAAGAGGATTAGAAATTGAAATGCTACAAAAATTCCAAGTTTTCCACGTAATAATTCCTATCTTCAAGCTCTTGAGCTTAGGAGGAAAATGGGGCAACTCTTTCAACTTTGGGCAGTCAATTAGGTTCAGTTCAATTAAGCAAGGAAACAAACATCCATCTCAGCAGCTACTCCTGCCTCAGACCAATTCTCTAATGCTGGAAAGAAGAGTATTGCTAGATATCGGAAGATTATTTGGTAACATATTATATATGATTTTCAATTTAAAACCTAGGAACGCTTGGATTTTCTCTTTTGGTAGCTTTGCCATGATCTTCTTCTTAAGCTTTGTTCTTAACCTTCTTATTCCGCATCTTCTCTGTTTTCCCTGAACTGTAAAATTCAACAGAATGGTCCCTATTATTGCTATTATTCCTGCTATTAATTGTTAAACTGATTGTATGTTCCTATATATTGCGTTTGCAGAATCCACCTTATGTTCCGACTTTAGCTGCCGTCAAACTGTCTAGTTGGCTTTGGCTTGGACGGTGTGGGTTTGTGATAGATTGGCACAACACTGGATATACTTTACTTGGGATGTCAAATGGCAGTAACCATATTATAGCTAAACTTTAAAAATGATAATTGTTGACTTTAATGGCTTGTATATTTTCACATACCCTTAACTTTATTATTAAAATGTAATGTCATATGGACTTCTAGGTTTGAGAAATATTTTGCAAAGAAAGCTAATAGCTCTTTATGCGTTCCGAAGTCGATGCAGCAATGGCTTGCACATAATTGGGGAGTCAAGTATGTGTTTTAAACCAAATCCTTGTTCACTCAACAGGCATAAAAATTGTTTGGATGGTTTTTATATATATATAAGGTTTTTATATATATAATGCTTTCTCCTCATATTAGGGCTTCAGTTTTCTATGACAAACCTACTCAATTTTTCCATCCTGCTGAGCTGAAGGAAAAACATAAGGTGAACTGCAGTTTCTTTCCTTGCATGTTTTGGGTACTTGCGCAAAGATTTACGTGTTGGCATTCAAAATGTCTTAGTTGTTTTGCAGTATAAATAAGCGTATATGTGACCCAGACAACTTTCATGATTGTTTTAGCATTGGTATTACGACTAATCAAGTAACTCAGTTTTATAGCCAGATAAATTTGTTTAGGTTATAAATGTGAATGCTAGTTCAAAGGTTAAACTCAGCTACTCCTGCCTCAAACCAATCCTCTAATGATGTAAAAGAGGAGTATTGCCTCAAACCAATCCTCTAATGCAATTACTCAATTTGATAACTATACTAATTAATGGATTCTTTATAGGTTAAACACTGTTTGCTCTGATTTTCACTTGCCTAGGTTGTTGATATTTAGTTTATGGATATCCTGACATGCCATATCCAAACACAATATATAAATATCTTTGAATTTTCAAATAAAAAATATAATGGGAGTCCTACAAATTAAGTTAACTTTCTTGTTAAGTTGTTGGGTTATGTTAGCTTTATGAGATACTTTTCAATGACCTACACTATTTTTTTGAATGCTAATCTTGTATTGTTTGGAAAATTTTTGTACATGCCATTTTTCTTGTGTAATAACCATAACTTGCCCTTTTGGTTGTATGATTCAACTTTTTTTTTTTTTTTGGCAAACTTGATTTCTTATTTTCTTTCATTTTCATTAGGTGCGTCCTTATGTAGCGACATGAAACAAGAATTCTGAGTTTGGCGTCAGAAATGAGAAGCTGCAATGGTTCCCGTTTAGAATCACTGCTTCCTGCCATTTCCACCACAACTGTAGAACATCCCTTCGGTTCCATCAAATCAAAGCAGGATCTTGTTGTAATTCCTCCTACATAAAACATCATAGTATTGCTGGTTTTGGTTTTCTGTTTGATTACAATGATAATATCAACCCTGTATAATACATTTAAGTTTAATTCTCTTAACGATTATATAATGTTGGAGCCATGATTCTTTATGGATATAATTTATAATTTGATCATAAAATTTTTTTTTTTTTTGCATATTAAGTGTTTTTCAATCTATTCTATCCTTTATCTTGTTTCTAAACCGATGCAAATAAATTAGTAGGTGATGGAGTGCAGGAGTCTTTATTTTTGTCTTATTTTTCTTTCATTTTTATCTTGGTGCTAATTAATGTGACATGCAAATGACCTGAATGATTCCATAAATCTTATTAAATTATGGTCTTTATCTTTGATTTTTCTATATCAGTAAGAAACTAAGGAACTTAAAGATTATCTTAGTTATATGGCTTTATTTTTATACAATTTTTCCAAGTTTTTTAATTTTGTTCAAAGTTAAGTGTAATTGATGATCCTCAAATGATTAGATATTCACTCATTTTATTGCATTCACTCAAGTGGCCTTGATAGGATATGCATCTAGTCTCATGTGTCTTAAACATTTATTGATAGAACTATTAATCCTCTCAACAACTCCATTCCACTTTAAAATTCCTGGGACTATTCATTCTAAAT